CTCATTTCTCCCTGGATAATATTTACTTTTTAAAAATAAAGTTTTTTTTAAAAAATATTTTCTCTGTAAATACTTTTTGTACTCACTGTATATAAAAATGATCGACAAAATCGGTAGATTCTGCCTCATCAAGAAAATAACTAAAAGTTTTTATCTATCTATTTAAACAATTGATCGAAATCAATTACAAATATTACAATAGCAAAATATAACTTCTATTGTTTGTTCACTGATAACGATTGAGTACGTTTGGCTTAGTTGGTGGTGTAATATGATGAAATTTTCGTAACTACGCGTGTGAATATAGAACATATCAATGCGGGATGTATTCCTGGATAACCGATAAACCTTTTATCATTTTACGTAATAGCACCTAATGAAACACTGAAATATAATCAGAATTGTCGACGATTGTATAATAAACGCTTCGCGATCGCGCGCGTGCGCGCGATCAAGAAAAAAGAGAAATTGAATCTCGAGTTCTTTTTAAAAAAGACTATCGGTGATGTCGCATCGACGATATTTGAAGTAATAAATATTCCGTTCGAAAAGCGGTAGTTTATATTATATTGCGTGTACATTTCATGAGCTTGTTGCGCCACGACATAAAAAAGATCATTCGCATACCAGCGTGCCGCTGAAAAATTAAACAGAAAAAACAGGAAAAAAAAATTCCTTTTGGGGACATTAAATAAGAAAATAAAATGAAAAAAAAATGAATAAATTCTTCATCCTAAAATACTCTAACTTTTCCTGGATTTTCAGACAAAATTTTGTAATTTTCTTTCAATATTTTGAAATTTTTTGATCTGATTTGGAAACGTCTAATATTTTGTTGAGAGAACTATTTATAAACGTATTAACTATTTATAACTATTTATAACGTAGAATGTTATTATATTAATTAATGTTGCTGATGATACTTCTTGCATTTTTAATCGTAATTTTTGCATTTTTAAGTTGGTAATATTCCAAAACTACATAGATATGATGTAGCCATACTAAACGTTTTTAAAGTAAAAAATATTAATTTTCTAGAAAAATTATGCAAAATTTCCTGACATTTCTCTAATTTTTCTGCTTTCCAATTTTGGCAACCCTGGAGATGTAGAAATATAATACGTTATTTAAATTTGATTCGAATTCGAATCAGAAATAAATGGCGATTTTCAAAAAATCAAATCTCAAGTTAATAGACAAAATCATAGGTGGCTATAGCAGAAATTTAGTTTAATGACGTATAAATAACAGAATAAAGAAACCAGATCAATTTTAAAGTAGCAAGTCATAAATAAGTCGTAATAATGAAGGGAAAGCAAAACTGGAGCAACAATGTGGTATCGTAAATAACTTAAAGACCAATCAAAATAAGACAGATTGGCTAATAAAAAAAGAAAAGATGAAGCATCTTATTGACACTTGTTTAGAATTTCTTTCGTCCGATTTAAGAGACTTAACAGCAGAGGAAGGAGGGAGAGAGAGAAAGAGATAAAGACAAAACGAGAAAGAACGAGAAAACGACAAGTCCGATAAAGAATCCGCGAGAGCGACAGAGACAGAAGACGAGATCACGTGGCGTTAGACAAAGACGGAAACGAGCGCCGCCTGGAGGTGCGAATGAGACGAAGCGTTGTAATCAGAGAAAGAGACAGAGTGACGATCCGTACATCAAAGAAGCAGAGCGATTGCGTCAAATCACACATACACGCACGTTTTTCTCGTTTATCTTTCTCTTTCTCTCTCTCTCTCTCTCTCTCTCTCTCTCTCTCTCTCTCTCTCTCTCTCTCTCTCTCTCCTATGTTCACCTAAATCCCATTAAATTACAATTACGATATTATTACAAGTCTGTTTTTTGTAGCTAAACTAAGTAGTACGCTTTTAAAACTTAAAATGAGATAGATACATGATTTGATACGTTTGGCGAAAACAAGAGAATTCTAGTAGTCTAGTGCGGGAATAAAAAAAAACAGATCACATGTTAACATCTATCGTTCAAACGATACAACCGCAAGTGAAAATTCACGTCATCCTGGATATATGATCCATACGGTCGATCCGAAAATAAAGACGCGACTTTCACACACTCTCTCTTGATCTCTACATGTCTCTCTTTGTCTCTCTCTCTCTTCCTTTCTTGCGCGCGCGCGCAAGCGACTCACCTCCTTTTTTCCTTGTGTTTCTTCTCCTTCTTATGAGTGTCCATGATGAGGCGACGTTACGATGGACCAAGGGATGATCACGACGCGCTTCTCCACCAGCAGCACCGGCGCACGAAAACCAGGACACTCTCGGTCACTGCCAAGGAACGTATCCGGGGGCGTGCGCGCGCGCGCGCGCTAACGAGTTCGCTCTTTTCTAACCGGCCGACTTGACGGAAACTTGGCTTACTGCACTTTGTTCACCGTCTATAAGTCTTTCCGTCTCTGTCGCTCCGTAAATCTGTCTCGGCGTCGGTATCGGTGATCGATGCTCGATCAGCTCGATGCTCGCACGCGACGCGTGTCACTACTCGACGTCGCGCTGCGCTGCGACCGAGAGACAATTTAGACAACGGGCAACGACACTTTTCAACACTAATTCCGACGGGCGCACGGGCCGCGAGAGTAACGACAAACTCATAGCGTCAACGACCACGACGAACGAGACGTTGTCGCTACCGTAAACGGCTACTGGCGAACAGCGGGACTCTGTTATTATCGCGTTGCGCCCGATAATACGCCGTACGCGATGCTAGTGTCACGACTACATATGTGAGCGGAATGGAAAGACTATCCGAGGGGGTCACAGGGGTGGAACGAGCACGCGCGCGCGCGCGCGCGCGCGCGCTCGACGTCACGCGGCTAGACTCCGCCATCGGGCGACGTCTGCGAGAAGTAGCGAGTGATCTAGACGGCACGCGGTAGATTTGAATCGTTAACATCTCTGAAAGCTTCTCACGAAATCATAATCAAGACTCTTCTATAATTAATGGCCACAGCAGAGACTCTTGTATAACACATGATGCATAGTGCATAAAGGAATCAACCCTGGTGAAAATTTTTCTTATAATTTTTATATGAATTGGAACATTTTTCAGAAATACTCAGAAATATTCGGAAAGTTTACATCTCCTCTCAGAACTTCTCATACAAGTGAATTCTGAAATATTCTGAAATTTCTCATCCCATAATTTTTTAAAAAGTATTTTTAAATTTTTCAGATTTTCTAATATTTCATCAGAAATTATACTTACAAAAAATCTTAAAAATCTTACGATATTTCATAATTAACATATATAAAAAATTCTGAGAAAAGATGTAGATTTTCTGAGAAATGTTCCAATTCATAAAAAAATGTGAGAAAGTTACAAAATTATAGAGAAATTCTGAAAAATTATATGAAAAATTCTAAGAAAAATTTTCATCAGAGAACCAATTGAAATTCTTCTTTTCTATGGAATGGAAAGAAAAGGAAGATTCTGATTAGTTGATCCGTTTATGCGCCATGCGTTATGCGTTATGCAAAAGTCTGTGCTGCGGCTTTAAGGCAGGAGAAGAGACCTTTGCATAATGCATGGTGCATAAAGTATAAGAAAATGAAACTAATCGAAATCTTTTATTGCATGAAAAAGTAGGAAATGTGAAGGGTTTTCATTGCTCATTTTCTTATATAAGAAACGTTATGCAAGACTTCGTGCTCTTATTTTTAATAATATTCTACATTTTTAATAATATTCTGCATTTATTTAACATTTATTCGATTTACCTGTGGAAGATTCCTTCCTATACAACACAGTCCTCCAAGAGACGTCCAGAGGGTATTCTAGAACATTCTGTAGGCATCCGCAGGATATACTCGAAGAACTATTGTGTAGATTGGAAAGAATTGTATTGTCTCCGAGTGCAGGACAAAATCAATTTTTTAGAGAAAATCTTCATAATGCATCATAAAGATATCCCTTAAATAAAGTATGCGTGAAAAGAAGATTTAAATGAGGAAAAAATAGATACAACAATAAGATATTTTCCATTTTAATGTTGTACTTCTTTTCACATTTTCTATACTTAAACTGAAATATATCCGCATTACAAAGAAAAGAGGAAAAAGAATAAAAGTGAAATATAAGTTATAATATAAATTATAAATACAGAAAAATAATAATAATAAGTTTTTCTTTCCAGACAGAACTGAATTCATTTCGAGTTATATTAGTTTGCAAAGAGAATGTATAAGATTTAAATATAGTGAAATTTAATTTGTTATATTACTATTCCAGCTTCGGTTTAAGACTGTTTTGCAACAAATAATCGATGCACTGGAAATTATACAAGTTCGTAAGAAATATTATTTAATACGAAGAACTGGATATATCATTTTTCACTCATGTGTCTATATATAATAGTAAAAAAATAATAAAGTTCTTCGGAGGATTCCGGATTATTTTGAGCCACAATTTTACTTGCTCCAAATTGTTCGCAAACTTAATAGATCCAACTTTAATTGCAAATGTTATTTCAAAAAATTTATTTTGAACTATACAGGCAACAGGTAAAATTAAGTTCCTTAAAGTAATTAAGATAGTAAGACACATGTAAGAAACAGAAACTATTATTGCTAATCCGCCGCGCCTTGACTAGCAACCATCATCTTTCTCTTATCTTCGCTACTCTCCTGTGGCTGCTTCTTCTGTTCCACCTCTTTCCCAATCTCATCGTCTTCCAGGTCGTCTGCCGACATGCCCTTGCTCTCGTACAGAGCCGGGTATTGCGACATACAGCTCTGCATCGTCTCGAACGCAACGCGACAATCCGAGCCCTTTGGGTCTGCGGTGGAATAGTGGAAGCAGGAGAAGGCTTCACGGAATTCTAAACCGCATGGCCCAGTCGCCATGCCTCCTAGACATGGGCAGTTCCAATTGATCTCGCCATTGGCCAACAACAGCCCGGGACTGGGCTCCGGTTCAGGAAGACTGATTTTGCTGGGTACTGCATGATCTTCCTTAGTCGCGAAGATAATGGTGTCCTTACCCTCTTTATATATCATTGGCATGGCGAAGAATCAAAAGGGACTTCTCCGTGCTGGAACGTTCTACTGTCAGCAGTGAATGACAATAAATTCGGTGATGCTCGATGAACTGTGTACACGCAAGTCTTTCCCTCGTATTTTGTACTCAGAGTCAGACTCGCTCGTAATCGGACGTAACTGTTACGTGAACAGCGTAGAACAAATCTACGCTTTTCAGGAGAGAGCTTTAGAATGTCTACAGAACTCTTGGCTCCTTCCTCTCCGAACAGCGATCGGACGGCTTCCAAAATATTCTTCTTGAGATACACAGGAGACACTATTAGATCAGGATCCGATGGAATTTCTCTACAAATAGAAATAAGTTTTGCTGTATCCTATATTGTAGATAAGAATTTTCTAAGCATGCAAATCTCTCGGTTCTCGGCGACGGTTGTCGCGCTCGCTCGACAATGGAATTGAAACTCGAGGGAGTCGCGCGTACAGGTTATGTCACGCAGTGACTAGTCGTAATAATCGCGTCTATGTATGATGAAATAGTGAATGTACTAACAGAGAAACGTCTAAGTAATACATCTTACGATGAAGCGCCGACTCGCCACTCATGTCGACCTCGCGTACCGAGGGATAGACATCACAGAAATCCTGGACGGTACTTACACGTGATGCACTGACTTGCACCAATTTGCATGGCGTCTGAGCGGTGCCTTCACCTCACATGCCCTCGCACTCTGTCGCACTCTCGTAGTGGTGGACAGCACTGACAGCAGCGCCGGTGCAGTACTGCCAAACGCGTTTTCCCAAGAATGAAAACCCATGTCTTTAAATTTTCTTCCGAACTTTTTCATAAGAGACATTTTCTTTCTCCCTCTCTCTCTTCCATGAACTTCGGAAATTATTTCATTCCGAGTGCACAAAGTGTAAGCGAAGCGCAGTGCGCGATGAAGGGCATTTAAATCCGTTCTTTAACACTACGTTGCGACTCCAATTAAGCAATAATCTCTGACGACAATTACTCCGAACATAATACATACCCCATTATTATATAATATTAGAATTAATCAGAGTAATAATAAATAAGTACATATTAAAAAGGTAAATGAAAAATATTATTAAGTATTGTGAGAGAAAAATTCAAGCGGTTTTGATTCGACAATTTAATAAGTGAATTTACAAGTAAAAATTTTCAGACGCAAATTCAATTTTATTTCAAATGTCTCAAAGCATACGAAATAAATGCATATCCTATAAACGGTAAAAATTGGACATTTCACACCCATCGCTTTCGGAGCGTGTAAACCCGGCATTAGCCCGCTCTCGACGATCGACCACGCGTGAGTGCCGGCAAGGCGAACGTCCGTCGGGCGTCGGGAGGGGAGTCCGTCGAGGGTCCCCCAGGAACTCGGCTCTCAGTCGCAGCTCGGCTGTCAGTGCGCGACGATCGAGCCGCGTTCATCTGCCTGCGTTGCGCTCCGCGCATACACACACGTACATACACACACCCATACATTATATGTAAATGTAAAAAAAAATACATACATAACACGTACGCACGCACGTTTGACGCGTCCGCACGCAGGCCGTACGCACGCCGCGGTGTAGGACGTGCCCGACACGTTCGAATCGTAGATCGTACACGCGGACGCGAGGGTGGAAAACGATCGCCGTGGTTTTTGTACATACGCGGTATAAGGGTGCACGTGAGGGGGAAAGAGAGAGAGAGAGAGAGAGAGAGAGAGAGAGAGAGAGAGAGAGAGAGACGTGTCGAGGAAGAGACGATCCGAGGAGGCGGAACGAACCGGGGGATCCATGCGTCGCACGATATAGACGGCGACGGCGCACACATAGACGCGAGTCGCGACTGAGCGAACCGAACGCGCTACTACGCCCAGTCAGTCGGACGTCGGCACGGGCCCGACGACATCCCGACGATACTCCAGTGCTGATTACACGACGGGGTTCCCACGGGTTCGCCTCGCGAGTAGTTGACACGCGGCGCAGAGTGCTGATCCGTAAGCGGGGCGGCGGGCATCGGCGACGATCGGATTGCGCGACCCGGACCCTCGAGCGATTCGTGACAGTGAAGTGAAGCACGCGTGAGAGGTGGTCGCGAACAAGGAGAGCCGAAGAAGACACCGGTCAATGTGGTAGACGAAGAAAGAGAGAGAAGAGAGAGAGAGAGAGAGAGAGAGAGAGAGAGAGAGAGAGAGAGAGAGAGAGAGAGAGTAGGGAGAAAGGAAGAGGGCTGCAGAACGGGTGGTCCTGACAGCGAACGGTGACGAGAGAAGACCGACCGTCCTGAAAGAGCGAGCATTAAATGCCAGGGAGAGTAATAGGGGCCCCCGTACGTAATTGGCACACTAGAATGAGTTTTTTGTCCGAAATAAAAGAAAAAATGAAACATGCGATAGTATTAATACTATAATACGTTTGCCGCACGCGCTGAACTTGTCTCGGGATCGAGCTTTCCTCGGTGTTGGATATATCCTTTTGGTCCAACCCTTGGCTAAGGCTATATCGCGGCGATGAGCTATATCCTTTTACTCCGACTCGCTCGAGAGTGCGTGAGTTTAGTCGGGGAGTATCGTTGTGGCCGTCACTGACCACCCCAGCAACTTCGTCCCCGTCATCGTCATCGTCATTGTTTTCAACAACGCAAGGACGAATACTTCGAATACCTACCTACCTCGAGATAGTCGAAGGCGAGCGGCGAGCGCAATCTCAACCGGCCTCTTTCTCGCTTCCGCGGCGCGCTTTGACGACGGCGAACGAGGGGACGGCGAAACGGGAAAATCAAAACGTTGCTCGAGACGACCAGAGAAGAGCAGACGGAGAAGAGCGGACCGTCGTCGAGGAAAATCATCGCGAGAGTTTCGCGTTATGAAAGCCTAGCGTTCGACACCGTGGGTCATCGTGGGTCGTCAGCGTCGGGCGTGCGAGAAGGGACGGCCACGGCGGCGCGCCGGCGGAATTGCCCGGATAGTAGGAGGAGGAGGAGGCACCCGACAACATGGCCGCCGCCTGCTACGAGAAGGAAGTGGTGGTAGGTGCCGCCATTCATCACGGACATGGACACCATCATCACCACCATCACCACCACCATCATCATCACCATCATCACAGTAACGGAGTCGTCGCGTCGTCCGCCGTCGGCGTCGGCGTCAGTGTCGGCGTCGGCGGGGTGACCGGGCAGACAGTCCTCCCGGCGACGTCCACAGGCCTTGACGATGCTGCTGTCGTCGCCGCCGCAGCCGCCGCTGCCGCCGCTTCCAGCAATCCGTCGTCCTCGGTGACGAACCCTGCCAATGCAGTCAATGCAGCTGTAAACGGTGGCACATCGGTGACAACTACGAGCGCAGCAGCTA